TGGACTTACTGTATCGGTTAGGGTTTACTGAAGGAATAGAATCAACAGAATATATATGAATATATACAAGGGGTGATCAAAAATACAGTGAACATTTACATTTAAAAAATCATTACAGTAAAAGACACATTGCCATTAATCACCCTTCAAATATTCCTTCTATTCCTCAACAAACTTATCCTATTATTCTCTCCACTCTCTGAAAGAATTCTGGAAGTCCTCTACAAGGTGTTATAAAAATAAGGTCAGGCTGCTTCTGAGTGGCATCCAACAGAAAAGCACTGTGGTGTGTCCTCACCACCTTAGTCTGCAGATCTGGTACCATGTAACTTCTGGCTTTTCTGAAAAGTCAAAATGACTATGAAAGGTAAACCTTTGGACTCGGTTCAGGACACAGAAGCAACCACAGTGGAACAACTAAAGCTACTTACAAAGAAAGACAGACTTTCAGTACTATTTTGAAAAGTGGCAAGAATGACTGGTGAAGCGGGGGGGTATTTTGAGTAGGATTATTATGCTTTAGACCAAGAATGACTCCCCAAACTCTCATATGATCAAAGGAGGGGCTTTTGGAATGTGATTGGACCATGGAGACACTATAGTTGGATGTGCTCGTAGCAGGTCGGGCCCAGTGGGAAGAAGTGAGTTCCTGAGGGTAAGATATGGAAGGGTAGATCTCCCTCCTCTGCTGTTCCTTCTTTTCCTCTGCTTCCTGGTCACCATGATGTAAGCACCTTTCCCCTGCTCAGGCCCTTTCACTATGCTCTTTCTATGTTGAGCCAGCTGACTATGGGCTGAAAACTTAAAACTATGAGCCAAAATAAACCTCTCCTCCTTTAAGATTTGGGTGTGGGTCTTCCTGTCTCCACAACAAGAAAATTAACTTAGATGAGAATTTTAATGGCAATGTGTTTTTAACTGTAATATTAAAATATATACATTCACCATAGTTTTAGATCACAAAACATAATTTTTTCCCAAGAAACATTAAACTCCAAGGCTAACATAAACAAGCTGTGAAAATGTGAAAAATGTTGTGTCTATTGTTAACATCTGGTGAGATGGCAGTCCAGCTTCAGTTATTTTGGTATTCTTATACGAAGCAACTGAGTCAGAGAAACTATTTCAGTTGGTCATACACTGCACACGCGAGAGCAGATTTCAAGATTCACTGAACCCAGTCCTACTACTTCTCCTTTACATTCTGTGCTCTCCTGCCAGATGTCATCGCCTGTCTTTCCTCCGAAGGCGTCAGTAAGGTTACACAGCTGAGCCTGGCAGGCGACTGCCCCAGGCCAAACAAACAAACAGAAGAGAAATCTTTCAGGCTGGACACCAGGGAAAAGTGATCTTGATGCTGTCTGTGGCATGAGCCGAGGCAATTGATGACTTGGCATTCTGTCCCCGAGTCATCAATCATACAGAATCAATCTCTGCTCCCTCAGGAGGTAGCCCCCGGATCACATAATTCTCTCTCCCTGCCACCAACCTGAACAGTCTGATCCCAGTGGTGGGAACTGTTTTGTTCTGCATTCAGCATTGATTTACTTGGCCTTCAGTAGTATTTTCTACATTCCCCAGAAATGTCACTTAATTTATCCTCTCTGAGGTGGCTAAGTTGCCTGGGTCTCACTGCATCAAGTGGATCAGGCAAGCAAAGCAATGTGTCTGGCTTCTCACATCAAAGGCATGGGCCTCAGGGCCCCTAGACTTGGAAACAGGCCTCTGCTGAGCTCTGCTTCCCACACTCTGCAAAGAGACTGAGGCGGGTTGTGGTGGTGGTGGTGGTGGTGTTGGTGCGGGGGGGGGGGCAGTGAGCAGAGGCCAGGGGCTGGGGTTTTCAAGCCTTCTTTGTTTCCATGGATTTTACTACTTCTGAGCTGTGCAATATTGAATATGGTACCTAAATACTTTGTGCATCAGTGTCTTCTTGAGTTGAATAGAGGTAGTAAAAGATCTGTTTTGTGGTTATAGGATTAAATTATCTGAGGGCATAAGTGCTTAGCACAATGGTACATGGGCATCGTGCTCATGGGCATAATGCCATTGTCAAGACACGCTTAGGCTCTGTAAGGATGACACTGCAGATAATAAATTTGGTGACTATGAAAAAACGTCTTCTAATTTATCTCAGAACCCAATATCAGGACAGCATCCATCTACTTCCACAGCTCAAAATATGAGCCCTTCCCTGCCCTGCAATAGGGAGGTTCCCCTATAAAATTTGGCTTACCAGTGTGAGGCATGCAAAGGAGGGAATAGAAATACAGCTTTGTGAACTACAAGTTTTCCTAAGGCCAGCCTAGAAAACTCTCAAATTGAGAGTCCTCATTCCTTCTATGAAAAGGACCTTCTCTTTATCTCTCCTGGTAAAAGGGGTCTTTCTGGTAGGTCATAAAGACTTGCTCGGACCAAAGAGGGAAAGAGAAGGACAATGGGCCCGGGAGTGTTCTAGGTTGCAAATCCCTGGGAGGCCGCCTTGTCCTAGGAGGGCAGGAGGGTCCTGACCAAGGCTGGCAGGGGAATGCAGGGGACTTCCTTCCGGGCTAAATTTCACCATGTCTCCATATCTGTCTGTCCCTCGCTCCTAGCAACTGGAATGTCTTTGCCAAGAGATTCTGAGGGCTGCTTTATTTGTTAGGAGACAAGGAGGCACTAATAAATTCCTCTGTGTGAGGTATTTAATTACATAATAATGTGTACACTAATCAGGGTAAATGTGTTTGTGAAAACACCTTGATATGGGAACAGTTAATCACCCAAGGCATTGCTTCTTAACACACCTTGGAAGTTAACTTAATTAAATTAATTAGAACAATGAAAAAATTGAACTGTTTATTGGTCCACAATGGCCTGAAAAAATGCTCCCCTCAAACACAGGAACATCTCCCACACTGCAAATGATTTTCCCCAAACTCTCAGCCCTTATGGTTATGGCTACACCCCAGGAGCTTACAGCCTGCAAAGCCTCCCCCTGTGCCTTACCCTGGAGTCATTTCCTGTTGGAGACATAAGGCAGTCAGTCTGCGTCTGAATGCATGCGCACACACACTCATTCCTACCCGCCCACGGACTGCTTTTATGCACTTTACCAGAATCTCAGAGAAGTCTAGGAGGCTTTTACCCAGGAGTCCATAGGTGTAGAGTATGCAGTCACCAGCTGAGAGGGGCTGCCTGTGCATCCTAATGGGAGGAAGTGTTTTTGGAAGGGTTACTATAACTACCTTCTTTGCCAACATCATCATTAATATGTTCTATTAATAATGGTGATATTAATAATCTAACTTTCCATGGTGCTTTTAAACAAAGAACTGCTTCTTAACACCTCTGACCTCTCTGGGATTTCTAAAAAGTGACACGAAAGACCAAGTACCTCCCTCTAGGGGTAGACTCTGACATCTAATCTCAACAGGAAAAATCCTACAAGCCATTCTGACAGGTGAACAGACTGTGAATAGTGTGCACATGAAATCAGACATTGAAGAGCGAGCTTACCTATTTACAGAGACTTTGTTTCCATTTTTTTCCTTTTCTCTTATGTTTTCCTTTTTCCTTCTTAGCTTTCCCATACCCCTCCCACTTCCCCTACACTTTTATTTTTTCCTATTACACAATACCCATTATACATTTTGATTCTCATTTACTTTTAGTTTATCACACCGGAAACTATTTGGTATTTACACATGTGTGTCCTGTTTATTTTACTTAAGAGTATGGCCTCAATGTGCATCCCCTTAGCTATAAATGTCTCTAGTTCTCATTCTTTATGGCTGAGTAGTACTCCATTTTATTAAAAAAAACACCTCCTCTTTATCCAGTCTCCAGTTGGAGGGGATGAAGGGAGGACGGGGGAATGGAGAAAAAATGAGAAACAAGATATAGCGTGTAAAGCTACAAGATCCCAATGGTGAATGTAACTGTATTTTATATCTAAACTGTACCAATAAAGAAGAAAGGGGAAAAATAGAGTGAGCTTATACAGCATGGATGTGAGGGACATTGGAAGAGCCTTCTCTGGGTAGAGGAGTGCTCAGATGAGGGTAATGGAAGGAAGCCTTAGAGATTATTCCACAAATCCAGCAACAGGAGGTTGCAACTATGTGTTGAGTTGTGTACACTAGGTCAGCCCTTCCCTTAAAGAGCATTAGATCAGCAGTCTCTGTCCTTGAACTTTCATGAAAGAACTATCTGGACATAATTAGCAAAATCACTTCCCTGATGACAGTGCCTAATTGTGTCTATAGCTTGAAATTTCTGCCACGAAGATAGGAGACTTGATGATATATAGCTCAGAGTTATCTTTTTCATGCCCATTTTCTTTTCCTACTGCAAATATTAGAATAAGAACATGAAAGAAAAGGCTCTCAAGGGCTCATCATGAACCATTTTTCCTGAAATTCCTATCTTTCTCCCAGGTCAGAACATGGACCAGGGCTGTGAGCATAGGAAAAGCTTCCTTGGACAGTGTGCCAAACTACAGGGCCCATGGATTTGCTTTCTCTGCGATTTTCTACCACTCATTATAAACTTGTTAATGGAGCATTTTATAAATGTATTTAATTGCACAAGATGGAGGTTTAGGATCCTGAGCTAACCTATAGGAGCAAGTCTCCAACTAGCCCCATAACCAAACAACCTAGCATTGCTTGGAGCTGTTTCTAAGGTCAGGTTTATCTTGCCTGTGGAAACAGAAATAGAAAAGCAATTTTCTTATTTTTTCTTGAGCATTTCTTTGGTCAATGTGTAGGAAACAAGGATGGGTAGGGGGATAGGTGAAAAAATGACACCAACAAAGAGTGTCAAAATTTATCATAGTGGGCAAGAGCAGGAGATGTTTCCAGATTAAGGCCTGAAGGAACAAAGTGTCTGTTGGATCCAGAGCTACTTGTTACTGTCATTATGGAAGAGGAGTCAAGCCATTCAGCTGGCAAAAGGGAGCTGAGGGAACCAGGCCTTGACTACTCTTTCCTCTTGATCCCAATCTTTTGCAGGGGTCTCACCAAGCCAGAGGATGGAAAGCCTTGGTGATCCAGTCCATGGTCATCAGCTTGGACAACTCAAGAGTACAGATTGGAGAGGGGGGTACAGTTGAAGGAGGTCCAACTGAGGCCACCTAAGGTAAAAAATAAATGCTCATAACAAGGAAATGAAAACATGTCCTTCATTTTACCTGGATGATTTTTCTTACTTTGACATTGCAAAGTGTCTGTTCTCTATTATTTCAAATCTCTTATATTGGAACAGAGACTCATGTTTAAGCTACCGACAAACCATGACCTCACTTCTTACAACTTCATCCTTTGTGTTGGGTGTCTGTTAGAAGAGGCTTGCAGATAGAGATTTTCTGTGAATCCAGTTAGCAGACTGGAAAGGGATCCCTGCCAAGCCTACAAAAGATACAGAGAAAGCAAAGAAACTCAGTTTTTGTAGGAGAGTACCTGGAGTAGCCAGGTGCTATGGTGACTAGCCCTAGGTTTTCTATACATTGCTGGCTTTTCAAGGTCAGATTTGCCAAGGGTAATCAGACCACCTACTAGACAGTTCAAACATACCTTCTATCACTTGTTAATAAACCAATCAATCAAAGTAACCTATAATAAATTTCTAGTATGGTGAGAGGTTAATATTAGGGACAGGATGGATGCACCTTAAAATCTAGGAGGGAATTTGAGTCAGGACAACAAAAAAAATCTCACCATAATGCACTAAATGATGGAAAACTTGAAAGAGATGAGAGCAAAAAGTTATAGTTTAGAAAAGACAGAGGATGCTACTTGTGTGTCTAATGAGGGAAGGCTTCGTGAGGACAAGGGAATGTGGTAGTCTCAAAGGATGACTGTGGTCAGAGGACTGTGCTCTTAGTATTCCCTGGCTCTGCTCACTCAGCTCTGAGCCTTTGTTTATTCTGTCATGACATTAGCTGGAAGGCTCAGCTTTATGCCTTCCTTTTTATTTTTTACTCCAAGATACAGAAGTCCTGGCTATTCCAAGGAACTTGTCTCTAATGCTCAAAGCCACACTGAACTCTATGTTTTTATGAACCTAGAAGCAGAAGGACCCTCTAACTCCTGCCCTGAAACTATCCTGATGTCTATATAGGGAGATGTGTTTCTCCCAACCATGATGTGGGTGGGTGTCATGCTTTTTTTTTATAAGTAACTTCATTTTTGCCTGTGTTCTAGAAGGGGGAATTTTCCAAATGAGGCCCAGGGCAGATATTTCCAGTTGCCAACTTTTTTTTTTCTCAGTGACCTGACCTAGCACCCAGTATCAGGAGAAGCACATGCAGGGCATTTGGATCATCTGATGGCGTGAAGTCCTGGATACATTCAGCCCATTTGTGGGGACTCCACATGCTCTGAGCTAAAGATCTCTTTCCCAGTTTTTCTCAGACACGCTTATGGAGGAAAGATGTGAATGTAAGCTGAAAAGGTCCTCCATATCTTATCAGTTTGATTCTATGAAATCACACCTTGTCCAATGGGAAGGATGAATGTGTTTCTAGAACCCAAATCATCAGCACTTTTCATTCATCTCCTGGCCCTGCCCCCTTTCCTGCAGCCCTTTCTCTAACATTTGGTTGCTTCCTTTCTGCATTCTCCGCTCCCTGTCCCTGGGCCCGAAGACCCCATCCCCACCTGTGGCCATGCTGGGAGCCATTGGGCTGTTCTATGTTTCCCCTGGCCTTACCATAGTCCCTACCTTCCTAAGTATCCTGCTCCTCAAGGAGCCCCCAAAATAGGAGAAAAAACATTTTTATTTCTTCCACACAGTTTTATGTCTTTCTCACAAAGTTTGCACATAAAACTGAGATCAGCATGTGATGTGGGGAGATAACACATACACTGTAGGCCAGCGCAGGTTGGGGCTGGCTCCTGGGACCCTAGGTTGTTTATCTAGAGGTTACACACCTTCACATACCCTCTGTCAACTATGAAGTTGTTGAGAAATTCCAAGCATCTACGGTTCCAGTTTGGCCAAAACCCCTCTGAAAGTCTGACTGAAAGTCCCTTTTGAATTTGGTCTGAGTCTGGTCTATTTACTTTTTCATCCTGCAGTTCTGTTTAGCTTATTCTGTCTCATCTTACCCAATTCTAATGTAGTCTGAGGTCACAGATCTGAACCTTAAAAATTCTCATGTTGAACTAGGGATGTAACTCAGTGACAGAGCACTGGCCTAGCGGACGTGAGCCCCTGGGTTTGATCCCCAACATGCACCCCCCCAGTCATGTTGTTTTGCTAAGATAGGTTCACTGCTAAAGAAATAAGCAGAAAGAAGCTCTCCACCACACAATCAGTGCCTCTCTTCTGCTTTAGGCAGAGCTTGAGTGCTTAATTTCCGACTTCCATGGTAAACTGGAGAAGTGGCTACACAAAGAAAAGGCAATTAGCACCTGATGAGAGGACTTTCCAATCACCACCAACCGCTTCAACTCCTCCAGCTGCCCTGGTTTTCAACTCCTTTATCCCTTCTTGAAGTTGCTTGCTACGCTCAGGGATGTGGAACTGGCCCCTTGGTGGAAGTGCAGGCGATAATTAATGAGCACACAGTTTTCTACCTTTAAATCTTAGTTGGTTGGCAGCCAGATAGAGCATCTTTTCCCTTTTGAGCTGTCTCTTCCAAAGCTTGCTCTGTCTGTGGACCCTCCATTCCCTTAGAAGTCTAGTGAAGTAGCAAAGCTGTCTTTGGGGCTCACACTTATTACTTACTGGGTGTGTCTGACACCAAATAACACAGAGAAGGGAGTGTGAGGCAAAATAAGAATTAGATTCTACTTCCATAAAACTTCTGATTTAGCTGGGGGAAGTGACACTTTTGCCCCAAATTTTAAAACAAAAAAGGGAACTAGTGATTTAAGAGTATAGCTGAAACTCTTTGTTAGCTTAGGATAAGTGATGAGGCTTTTCAAAAACTTAGCCAAGATTTTCTCAGACTTTCAAGGATGCTTAGCACGACGGAGAGAGGACCTCCATCCTCCCATCCTTCTTCCCACATGAGGCTGATCCTGCCAGGCTCACTAGTTCCTTCCACTCCAAAAAGGAGGAAAAAAAAACCCAGTCATTAATTGGATATGGAGCAATCAACTGGGATATGGAACCTGCTGGGCAGGTCCAGAGTTTAATCTTTAGATCCCTATGTGGCCCTTGAGCTCTTCCTCATCATGAAGTCTGATGGATTTGCTAGGCAGTCTGACCCTGGCCATGCCCTGGCTTGCCTTTTTTATCTTTTGGGAGAATGCAGGCAGGGCTACTCATCCCTGACCACCCTGCGGACCTAACATTCATGCTTCCTTTCTTTCCTCAAATGACTGTTTCCATTCAGAGAGTGATAGCATTCCCATCATGCAGGTATTACTTGATGGGCTATGGCTAGCAGGGCCATGTGATCTCTAGATCACAATTATTTGCTTCTGGGCTGTAGAAGCTGCAGGGGAACTTAGCATTAATGTGTCCATCTACTGTATACCTCTGGTTCTGTAGACATCTGTGAGTATCCTGTTCTACTCCTACAATGTGGTGAGAATAATGCTGCATACTATTTTATTTTTTTAATCTCTTTTTACACTAGTACAGTATGTTAGAGTAGAAAATGGATCTTGTTTGAACAAATGAATAGATTATTCAAATATGAATAATTGATGGCTTTTGTTTCCCAGCATGCCTTTGAATGCCCCTCTCTATATATGACTTTGGGGACTGCAGCAAATGGAAACACAGTTACATCAGTTCACTATGCTCCCCTGGATTATCTTTAGCTGCCATCTCTTCTTAAACGTCATACAGGGTTGGGCTCTAGATTCTGCCAAGTCTCTCCTTCTTTTCCTGTTCTGATGGGACCTAATCATGGTATGTCTACATGTTGATGAAAGTATTCAATCATTTTCCCTCAAGGCCTCTACCTTAAACAGACACGTCCTGATGACTTTCTCCAGGTTATATACTTAACGCACCATGTTCATATTTCTACTCCTGGATTCTTTATTTTCTACTGCACTCCCATACTCTAGTTTTTCCAGTATATGGCCAATTCTGATTAATCTGATGTTTTACATTTTGCCAAAATCATAGTACCACTTGTTCTGAAGTCTTCAAAAGGTTTCATACAAAATATAATTCTACCACAATGACTTGATATTCTTTGCTATAATAATTATGAAATTGTTGCTACTAATCAGAGAACATAAAACTCTTCAACAGAAAATGATTAAAACATAATTAAAATGAGTTATATATTGAGGTGAGAAATCAGGCAATGAAAGGGAAGTTTGATTATAAAGCAGTGTTTATGTCACAGAATGATGATGGGTGAGCCCAGCAAATGAATGCATTTTGAGACTGTCATGGTCTGAATGTTTGTGCCTCCTCCTAACTTATATGTGAAATTCCTAATATCCAAAGTGATGATATTGGTTGGTAATTGACCTTTGAAAGGCAATTTAGCCATCTACTGGGAGTCTTCATGACTGGGATTAATACCCTTATGAAAGGATCCCAGAGAACCCTGATTCCCTTCCTATCATGAGAGGACCACGGAGATATCTCTGTAGACTGCAGCCCAGAAGAGAAATTTCACCTGAGTCCAGTTATGTTGGAGCCCCAATCTTGGATTTCTAACCTACAGGACTGAGAAAATTCTCTTGTTTATAAACCATCCTGGCTATAGTACTTTGTCATAGCACCTTGCCTAGCCTTGCTTTCTTGTTGATATTGCCTTATACAGTGGAAGTGGGACATGATTTACAATTAAAATAAAAAAGCAAAACAACAAAAATGCAAGAAAGATACTCATTATTGTGGCCAAGTTGTCCAGTTCTAGAAACACACAGGTAATGTTCAAGTGTGAACAAGAAGCAAAGATGCAAAGAGTTGGAAGAGGCTGTTGGATCTCCTGGGAACCCTGAATCTCTTTGTTATCTCAAGGCCTCTTATATGCAAAAGATCCTGCTGGCTTCACTGTATTAGCATCCATGGTTTGTTGTTACCAGTTTTGTATAGCTTTAGTCTTGGGCTTATTCTTATCTTTTTATATATATTTCCACCAAAAGGAAAGCTGAAAGATATGGAGCTATAAAGCATGAAATAGAAAAAAAAATTATCGAAGCTACAAAAGCTGTAGCAAATATTAGCTGCTAACATATGGGGGAGAAGAAAGACAGGATCTTTTAAAAAATATTATTTAAAAAATGTTTCCTCTTGTAGATGAAAAAATCCAGAGTCCCTGGGTGAGGGGAGTTTTAAGGGGCCATGGAAGATCTTAGCTATTTGAAAGCAGCTTGGGCTATCTCTTAAAAAACATGTTCTTTGTCCCAGGTTGCTGAAGCTAAGGTTGAAGGAGCTGTACACAGTGTAGTAACATTCCAGAGACTAGGTTGAATTCAACAT